AGATTTTTTATTACTGATTTAATTTCTTTACTGGTATGGGTCTGTTCAAATTTTTTATTTCTTCCTGTTTTAGTTTTGGTAGTTTATATATTTCTAGGAATTTATCCATTTCTTCCAGATTGCCCAGTTTGTTGGCATATAATTTTTCATAATATTCTCTTATAATTATTTGTAGTTCTGTGGTGTTGGTTGTGATCTGTCCTCTTTCATTATTTATTTAGGTCCTTTCTCTTTTCCTTTTGATAAGTCTGGCTAGGGGGTTTATAAATTGTATTAATTCTTTCAAAGAACCAGCTCTTAGTTTTGTTGATCTGTTCTACTGGTTTTTTGTTTTGTTTTGTTTCTGTATCATTTATTTCTGCTCTAATCTTAATTATTTCTCTTCTTCTACTGACCTTAGATTTGCTGCTCCTTTTCTCCCTCCTTGAGGTATAAGGTTAGGTTGTTTATTTGAGACTTTTCTTGGTTCTTGAGGTAGACCTGTATTGCAATATACGTCCCTTTTAGGACCGCTTTTGCTGCATCCCAAAGGTTTTGGACTGTCATGTTTTCATTTTCATTTGCTTACATCTATTTTTTTATTTCTCAATTTCCTGGTTAACCCATTTATTCTTTAGTAGGATGTTCTTTAATCTCCATGTATTTGTGATCTTTCCATATTTTTTCTTGTGGTTACCTTCAAGTTTCGTAGTATTGTGGTCTGAAAATATGCATGGTATGACCTCGATCTTTTTGTACTTGTTGAAGGCTGATTTGTGACCCAGTATGTGATCTATTCTGGAGAATGTTACATGTGCACTCAAAAAGAATGTGTCTTCTGCTGTTTGAGGATGAAATGTTCTGAATATATCTGTTAAGTCCACCTGGTCCAGTGGGTCATTCAAAGCCATTGTTTCCTTGTTGATTTTCTGCTTAGGTGATCTGTCCATTGCAGTAAGTGGGGTGTTAAAGCCCTCTACTATTATTGTATTACTATCAATGAGTTTCTTTATGTTTGTTATTAATTGCTTTATATATTTGGGTGCTCCCAAGGTGGGGGCATAAATATTTATAATTGTTAGATCTTCTTGTTGGATACACCCCTTAATTATGACATAGTGCCCTTCTTCATCTCGTGTTACAGTCTGGTTTAAAATCTAGTTTGACTAATTTAAGTATGGCTACTCCGGTTTTCTTTAGATATGTTAGATGGCTCTCCATCCTCTCACTTTCTACCGACAGGTGTCTTTAGGTCTAAAATGAGTCTTTTATAGGCAGCATATAGACAGGTCTTGTTTTTTAATCCA